GTTTACAATGTCTTAGTGTTTGTATACAATGTCTTAATTTTTGTATACAATGTCTTAATGTTTTTCACAATGTCTTAATATTTGTGTACAATGTCTTAGTGTTTGTGTATTCCATGTGTTCGTATTTTTATAATTTGTAAAACTGTTTTATATACAATATCTTGTGTTTGTAGACATTGCCCTAATGTTTGTGTGTAAATCTTTTATGTTTGTGTGGACAATATATTAGTTTGTATTAGCTCACCTGGTCCAAAGGACCATGGTAAGCTAATGCCATACCGCAGCGTCCGTCGTCCGTCCGTAAACTTTTTCTTTAAAACGCTACTAGTTATGAACGACTGAGCAGATTATGACCAAATTTAGTCAGAAGCATCCTTGAGGGAAGGGGAACAAATGTTGTATAAATGGTGGGTCTGGCCTCCCAGGGGGCTGAGGGACGGGGCCCAATAGTGGAAACATAGCAAATTATTTAAAACCCTTTTAATCTGTAGGAATGAAAGGATTCGGTCCATATTTGGTCTGAAGCATTCTTTGGTGATGGGGAACCAATTTTGTATAAACGGTGGGTCTAGCCCCCCTGGGGGCTGAGGGATTGGGCCCAATAGGGGAAATATAGCAAATTCTTTAAAATCCTTCTTCTGTAGGAATGAAAGGATTTGTTCCATATCTGGTCTGAAGCATCCTTGGGTGAAGGGGAACTAATTTTGTACAAAATACAAAGCCCCGCCCCAGGGGCCTCAGGGGCGGGGCCCAATAGGGGAACAAAGCAAATGATTTTTAAAATCCTTCTACTTCTGTAGGAATGAATTGAATTGGTCCATATTTGTTGTGAATCATCCTTGGGTTAAGGGGAACTAGTTTTGAATAAACGTCGGGTGGGCCCCCCTCCCCCTCCTCTGAAACATGAGGGGTGGGCATAATAGGGGAAATAGAGGTAAAACATTTACAAATCCTTCTTCTACCATAGGGATTAGGGGATTTTATCCTAATTTAGTCTGGAGCATCCTTGGATAAAAGGGACTTAATTTCATATAAACAGCGAGTCTGACCCCCCTGGGTGCAGTGAGGCGGGGCCGAATAGAGGAAATAGAGGTAACACCTTTAAAATCCTTCTCCTTGTATAAACGGTGGGTATGACCCCTCTAGGGGCATAGGGGTTGGGCTCTGTTTGAAGTTTGTTCTCGTTATATCTCAAGTACTTGATTGATCTTTCTGAAATTTCATTATGTACTTACAGCACCTTCCATGGAGTGCTATATCTTTACTTCGTACCAATTGTTTTAAACATATTCAGGTGAGCGATACAGGCCCTCTGGGCCTCTTGTATATATGTAGAACCATCTTCTTCTACAGCAAAATTGTATATCATATTCACTAATTGTGGACACTATACATTTGACACAGATGATTACTTATGCACAATGTTCTCAGTAATTTCCGTTATACTTTATAGTGTTCTGATGTTTAACAAAAAAAGGTTTCCTGTGGATTTAACTTAACAAGATACTGTAGGACTATGGTGACCGTTAAGGCCCATGGGCCTCTTGTTATCTACTATATGTATAAATGTTATTGTAGGAATACCATTATCCATGTGCTTTACAGTATGTAGGGCGCTATACAAATGTTATAAATTATAACTAGTGATGACCCAAGGGGATCATGCCACACAACTTGTATTATGTTCTTATTATGGTCACACATACAAACTTGAATTATTTGAGCTTTTTCAGAAAACAGCTTAACAAACTGTACATGCAATATCCATACAAAATCAAAAATATTAGCTTGCGAATTCCTCAATATTGTATTGATTAATATATATATGCTAATTGGATTGACTGTATAAAATTGTATATTTATGTACTCTAAAGCGCTTTAGAGTGGCTTATGTTAGCTAGATAGGGCGCTGTATCAAATGTTGTATTTATTTTTTTATTTTATTTATTTATGTTAGGTGAGAAAGAAGCTATTTATGTTAGGTGAGAAAGGAGTAATGAGTGAACTGTTTTATTTATTTGCTTATGGTAGCTTCGCATGACGGCAATCGCCGAATCATCAACCAGTCAGGACCAGGCGTGGTGTCAACACCTGTAAACCTTTACCAACCAAACATCCCGCTAAGAAATAAACCAGGTATAGTCATCACACAGGCTTGTGTCTTGGAAGCCGACAAAGTGTAGCCGCCGGACGTGCTTCGGGTGACATCGGTACCTCATTCGTAATCAGAGGTGTATTGTTATGGACACTACGGTACTACTGTATCTCATTCGTAATCAGAGGTGTATTGTTATGGACACTACGGTACAACTGTTCCTCATTCTGTGCTGGGTATAGCAAATAGTACTCCATGCAGCGTTTTGCTTGAGGTGGATGGTTTGTGTAGCTTTTGTGAAGCTCTGGATTGAGCTGTCACATTGTTAGTGACCTATTACGGAACTTTGTATGTATGTCGTGGATGTGGGTCACATACTGCTGTGTTATAATTAATAGATTAGGAGTGAGTGTGAGTGAGTGAGTGAGTGTGCCCCATATATTGAGGGTTTGAATATTAATGTAAATAAATATTTGAAATTGTAATCAGTTCGTTGGTGTTCTTTTTCCCGGATCACAAACCGAAACTCGTCCCATGTGACACGCACATACGTTGATTATTTCTTAATCACACACACTCACACGTTAAATGACAATAAACTTGTAAAGTAATAGCCAACAGTTAAATAACTGTTCTTAACAAGACATCAATCATAAATATACATACCTAGAACGGTGGACTATATATGGGTAGAATGATGTATGATCTGTTTCGCAACACACACTATATATATATATATATATATATTAAAAAAGGACATATACTAAAAATATATACTTCCGGGTCCAGTCATCACGAATGCAACAGCCCGGTTCTGATGTCAAATTTAGGCACAACACGTAGACAAAGGTCAGACCTAGTAAACTGATGCTGTTTTCAGCCGGGACTTGACAAAGCCTTGCAAGGCATGCATACACATTTGCATGTCCGCCAGGATTTATAGCCTAAAATGTTACGTTAAAAAAAGAAAAAAACGGTTTTACCACTTGAACGGAAAGGCCCTAGGTATATTAACATCGATTTTTTTTCTCCAGGAAAGATTAAGTTGGGAAACCCTGTTTTCAAAAAAACGGATAAGGAGTACCGCAAGATAACATTTATCGATAACATCATTATTCTCCCGCAACGAAGTTGGGGAGGGGGTATATTGGAATCACCCTGTCTGATCGTCTGTCTGGGATATTATTTAAAGTGTATGTTAATCAGCTCTAAAGTGATTCTCTCAAACTTGATATACTACTTTCCTATTATATTATGCTATGGTCTGTCACTAGTCGTTTGAATTGGACACAATTTCACAGAGCTATACTCCTCTTCATATACATTCTCTCCAGAATATTTTAGTTCTGCTGTATGATGCAAGTGAATTCATTTCTGAGTTTCTGTATCTATTACCAATCTTAAAGATGCAATCACATTTTTGTGTAACAGTTGTGGGATCCCACAATGTTATATGTGTGGTGTGCGCAAGATGAAAAACTAATGTGAAAAATAGCGAGCGTACGCACAACTATGCGATAGTTCTCGTGGTTGATATATAATACGGAATGGTCTATGAATAAATAAGGTCTCGTAAATGAGTTATCTTTCCTGATATAAATTTGTTGTAATTTCAGCCAAATTTTAATGGTTATCTATATTCATCTAACAGTAATTAATGCTCACATCAAATACCAAAATAGCTTTGGCCTTAATCGAGTAGCGTTTAAATATGCGTTCATAAACATGTACGTACTGTACACGCAGATAATAAGTAAACAACGCAGCCTTACCTGTTACCAGTTCACTGTTAATACCAGGTAATTGGAACATTTTTGTATCACCAGTCAATCATGAACGTTCCCCACAAAACATAACAGGCACAAGGTCCAATTGTGTTTTGAAAACCCTAATCGCCGATCAACTCCATTTAATTAACATCGTACGTGTACTAGTAATGTATCTGACAGAACAACCCCATTATACAAATGTAAATAGTTTTTCATTCTTTTTCATTATGTGTTACATTCATTTAAGTATTAATAAAATGCAAAATAAACCAGCTGGATACTAAATACGTATACGATGTATCCTATTTCACTCTAGTCTTTCGGATTTATTTCTTTTTCATTTCCTAACATCGACCAACTGATTTCACCATGAATACCGCCATATGTGCGCGTTTAAGCGCACAACGGGTTAATCAACTGAAAGCTCACATATTTATATTTTACGTAAAGAAGACCAACCTTATTGTCATTCGTGTGATAAGCCATTTACAGTCGATCAATTGAACGCGCCGACTGTAATCAAAAACGTGACAACCTATAATGTGTCACCTATGAAAATTGTATTTGATACAGTTTCTGTAATAAATATATGATTATTAAAATCATTGAATTTTTGGTTTGATGTGTTTATTTTTATGAATGTCTCTCTTAACAGAATTATTTGGCCTTTAATGATTCACATTGTCGATGGGCCATTAAACAATACCAAAACAAAACAAAAACTGTGTGCCCTCAACTTGCGGACACAAAAACGACCAAAATAATTCTGCTGGATCCTTCTGTTTCTCCCAACTTCTAACGACCTTTTATTTCAAAGCGATACCTCACTGTTAGCTTTAATTTTGAACCTTCGACCAGGTGAGGAAGGCAATGCGTTGTGCCCTCAAAAGCAATCAGGATCATATGAAGGTGTGCACCAGGATTCCTCTTGGATCCTTTGTTGATAACTCCTACCATTTTAATTATGGTGAATGGCTCTTATAACGTTTAGCTTAATTGTACCCCAGGGACCCTTTACTCGATCTATCACCGCGTAGAAAAACACTACAAGAGCCAATTTTATATGCATTCATACATGACAACACAAACACTGAGAGTGTGAAATGTAAAACCATCGACACATGACTCAATATCTGAATGCATTTATTCCCGAAATATACAAACAAAACATCCAGAGGACAATGGCTGCTTTAAAACAAAAGTAACATCCTTAGTATACTAGAACAAAATACATAAAAGAATTCAAAACACACATGCCTAAGAGTGGTAATGCAGTTAGGATAAAAAAACCTAAACGTTGAATTAATAATGTTTACAAGAATCTTTAATGCATATTTATTATATATTCGTTGTCACATAACGTTCTCCAAACCATTTCTTAATAATGGAATACCTTACCTACGATAAATACACCAGTAGCAACAGGCTATTCCCGTATAATATTGTGTAATACAGATATTCCGAATTACATGTTTTATTTCCGTCCCAGCAGTACATAGATTGGTGAAGTAAGGATGATTGGACGGATTTGACCGGTCAAACCATCTGTGTACAGAGTCCTCAATCTGAAAGAAAAACATCACATTGGATACTGTAAATGCGCATATTGTATTCAGCTGGTTTCAAGTTTGAAAGTATAAGACATGAAACAAACAAACATTATCAGTCAAAACCATTCTTGGAATACGTTATATATATAAAAGATAAGCGTAACACACGCACAAGTGATTGCACTTTTAGCAAATTTCGTAATAGGACAGCATGCCAAAAATGAATAACACTGCATCTTACAACTATTTCTGCTTCTACGACTCATCGGTGATACTAGGGACCCAAAAATCGGAAATCCATACAAGTGTAAACTACTGTTAAAAAAGGAGAGGTGCATACATATCCATTATTTATGAATTTCAAAATTTAAGAAAAGAACTGGTTAATTTCAAATTAATTACTACAGAGTGTAATGCACCATGCCACTACTGATAAGAGATTGCTGTGACTATCAAGGTAACAGCAAACATCGGGGTCTAAAAATGTACCAACAGAGTCTACCGCCTTGTATCTTCAAATTTGAACGTAACACACATGTGATTGGGTATTTAAAATTTGAGTAATAGATACAGTATGTCAATAAGGAATTACATTGCGTCATGCAGCTGTTTCCTCCTCCTAGGACTCATCGATGATGTAAGCGACCAAAAAGTTGGAAATCCAAATAGCTTTAGTTTCAAGTTTTCCTAAACTGCCTTTTATGGGTAATATTTTATCAGTTAGTCAGCTTTTAATTGGCTTCAATCAAATGGTTTGACACATGTTCTGACAATTTATTAGGTCCCTCTCTGACTACGTACAGTTTGTATTTCAAGCCATGATGTAGTAATGCTTAATGCGATACAAATAAGATGATAAGAGATAAGATGATAAGCTACTTACAATTATATTGATACGAGAACAGAAGACGAAATACGAATATGATAACCATTTGCGTTTTTGACGTGATATATTTGATATACGACTTCACGTGTATTTATTGCAACGATGAGAGCATGAAGTCATATGGACGAAAGACAAATTATGTAATTACACCTTTACAATTTGGTCAAAGACACTATAAACCAAAACGGAAATGCACCGTATCATGCAGCTGTTTCGTAAATTGTTGCTATCAATTGCATGAAACAGATACTGAATATTGTTAACTTATTTTCCATCGTGACTATATAAATATATATATAATATAAAAAGAAAAATTCATCCCTTCAAGGAGATTATTCAGGATATATACATATATACAGGAGTCCAACTTTACCTCTGCCTTAAATCAGTCAAAATGTTGGTCTCTCGGTTCCTTTTCTTATATGTTTGCCATGGCGCCCAGGATCCAATAAAACCAATGTAGGAATCTATATCGACTTCTCTCTCGATCAGTAAAGGCTCCAACCTATAGGACAGAGAGAAAGTGATTGAAACAATGCAATCCATAGCTCCCTGTCAATAATGATTCTTTTGTTTACCGAGCTGTACACCTACCTCGGGATCTACAGTGACCTTCTTTCTCGTACTCTGTGATATGCGATCCCAACACGTTCTTGCATACCTAATCTAGTTACTCCAGGCGAAATGGTATCAAAATATACGAACGCCGAAAAGAAAGGGTAAGGAATTACAAAAAGGAGAAAAAGAAGACATTATGTGTTGCAATGGGACATCATATCAGGTTTGCTTTCTTCAGTGTCCCCTTAGACTGCAAGGTTTGGTTTTATTTTGTTTAACGTTCTATATTAACACCTAAGGTCATTTAAAGACGTGTTTCCATATGTGATGTTTATGCGTGCATATGCATGTGTGCCGGAGGCAGGGTATGTTGATGTATTTGCCTCTTTCTGATAGCGCGGATCTGATGCCGACTTTATAGTACTATCACACTGAAATACCATGCCGAATGCTTTCTTTGCTTTTTATATTGTTAAGCGTCATATGAATAGTTAAGTTCATTTAAGGATGTGCCTCCATGCATATTGTGTATGCGTGCTTGTGTGTACATTGCCTTCCCCACCTGGGCGAATGCTCAACATTAAAGCCAAAAGTGAGGTATTGCCAAGCAAAGCGCAAGGAAGCAAACGAGGTTGTTCGGAAGCAGAAAGAAATATAATAATTCAAAATACTGCAATGATTGCAGCAGATCTATTTTAGTCGCTTGTGTGTCCCCAGGAAGAGGGCAAAAAAGCACACACCCAGTTCCGCGGGGGTTCCACATTAGCCTCCTTTTACGATACACTTTCTCGATCCGCGACCTGTATCGATGCAAAGCGGAGTAATAAAGTTAACAAAGAAATTTAATTATAACAACATGATGAAAGAAATAAGGTAGAAAAGACCGCATGAGTCACACCTTAACATAATATTTCAAAATACATAATTAGGAAACAATTCAAAAAATAATTGAGATTAGAGCCATATGCTTAACAGTATAGTTAGGATGGAAATTATAAACAACCATAGTTACAAAGAAACACCAACGAAAAATTAAAGACACGGTGATCATCAAAACCAGACGCAGAATAACAGGCTATTCAACACAAACGTAAATACAACTATGCATGGTTATTATTATTACATGCTTAACTGCCCATCAACACAGGATAGGTCATATAGTGGTTGGTTGGTTGTTTGGTTGGTTGTATAGGGTTTAACGTGCTATCAACAGCTAAGGTCATCAAAAGGACGTGCATCCTAGCGTGTTGGGTATGTTGGTGTATATATGTAAAGTTACCTTTGGAAATCGTTGAAAGGGAGTTCGATCAAAGCTAAGCCATTGTCGATATGCATGTGCGCGTCAGGAACCCAGTCATCTCGTAACGTGGTTCTAAATAAACCCTGCAACAAGTAATAAAATGATAATGAATAACAATTTTTAACAATAAGTATTTTATTATAAACGTCCTAGAAAGTTACCCTGTAACTGAAAAAGATGCTCGCAAAAAGGAGGCTGTCAGATTTCTAATCTGAATGATATATTGCATTTCTGAGCGTAAATATTTCACTGAGTTATCTTCCCTGTAGATCCGGGGAAATAGAGCATTTGTTTTTCCCTCTATGTTATCGTATGAGGCGACTGATAATGCAGACCTAGCAGAATCAGGATTTTTCTCCTATTTCAGAAAGACATGGGAGAACAAAAAATGAATGTGCTACTCTCCCCCTCCCTCCCCTCTGATCCTTTCCGCCTTGATGTGCCGCTGTGCTCGGGGGACTTGAGGTAAACCCGAGGACATTGTGAATATATACAATCAAACCTATCAACAAACTTGTCAATGGGGAGGTATGTATCAGAAGAAGAGCAATTCGCCATCCCTACTCATATTGAAGCACATCCTTAAGTGATATTGGCTTCCACCAACCCTCTCTCTCCATAAAGCAACATCTGGGACCTCTTATTTTGTTCTCCTACATAATTGATTTTCTTTTGGATGACGTGTGGGGCCATACAGAGTCTTATGTCTTCTGCTAATATTATTAACTATATATTAAGACACTTTGGAGATAACAAAATTGATCTGCTACCCCATTTGCATAGATTCTCTCGCGCGGTTTCTCGGTTGTTCTCTTTTGTCCTTCATATTGAAACTTGCCACTTTGACGTTCAGTTTTAAATGGGCAGTCGTAATTATTGGTTTGCCCGTTGTCATTATAATGTAACCGGCTGAAATCCTGGGCTTGGTGCCTCAAATGTGGTGTTGCAGTGACAAAGCACGTCGGTATCAGATCCCGCCGTCGCCAGGAGGCAAATACAAATACATGATCTTCACTCGCGTATACCTTACACACATGGGGGTACTTTCTTATATTACCTAAGCTCTTTGTTTTATCCCATATGGTATTTTACAAATGCTGCATTTATATTTTGAGCCGTTGTGGCAAAATCGTTTACCTCCCATACAAGCTGTTGTGCTTCTTTGTTGTGTATCATATCGAATCCATATGAATACACTGCCAAAACACCTCCTGGTCGAAGCACGCGGCTGACCTCCGTCATAAACGACGGTTTGTCTAGCCAATGAATGGTAGAAGCTGTAGTCACGAGGTCTACAGTTCCATCACCTTGGAAACTCATGTCCTCTGCAGAACCAACTCTGAAGTCGATATTACTTGCGGCTTTTCTTGCTTCCAAGATTTGTTCCCTGCTAATATCTATTCCAGTAACATGCCTACATAGGTTGCTCAAGGGGAGAGTACTCTGTCCGCTTCCACATCCAACGTCAATAGCTATGGATAATTCGTTTGCGTCTGACTGCCTGCAATATTTTATTATTTTATCGTATAATTCCTTTGGATAGGATGGCCGATATTTTGCATATACTTTTGCGTGTTCTTCATCCTCAAATAGGCGATGCGTTGGGGCTTTGTTTGCCATTCTGTAAGTAAGAAACAGTCTCATTTTCCCTTATTAAATTAATAAGTTGTTAATGCATATTGCTTACATATAATTTTTCGGAAACCTGTACAATTTATTTCACCATTGATTGTGGAATATATATTCTTTCTCCGAAATAGCAAAAGTTGTCTACCGAAACAATAAACCACCTACATGGAATAAATACAGGAAGATCCATAACTCACAAATGATACACATCATATAACATAACTACAATAGGATACCATACTATCCTGTTGCCATTCTGTCCATTTTATTTTTTATATTTCAATGGATAGAACCTCGCCAATGTGATCTAAAACTATATTTGCATTGCCTATATATGTACATGATAATTGAGGAGTGGTTCAGGCGTCTGACCGTTTAAGATCACTAGCCCTCCACCAGTGGGTCGCGGGTTCGAGGCCTACTTGAGACAGTCACCGGGTACTGATTGCAGGTCAATGGTATTATTCCGGGTACTCTGGTTTTCCTCCAAACCCTAAACTTGGTTTGTCCTGAAATTACTATAGCTGTTAATAGGGCGTAAAGCTCAAATGGACAAAAAGCACTAAAAAAGACTGTATTCCTTAAACCTATTCCATTCCTCACTGGAATTTGTAGACATCTAAACAAACGAAAAAGTCACCTATTTATACTGATTTATAAATATGTATACAATTATTTAAATACTTACTTCAGCATACTAAACGTAAATTACTATGACCATAACTATAATATAACTGTTCATGACATTAAATAAATCGTATGTATACATACCGGATAAGAGGAAGTTCAGATGAAAAATTGGAATATAATCAGCTTCGCAGCTAGTTTTGTATTTATGTGTAAGGCATCAATTATATAATGCAGCGCCGTGGTTTGTTATATACCTAGCACTTTGTGAGGAAAGAATGCTAATATACCATGTCAAATCCTTATTTCTACAATGTCCATGCAGTGTGGAGACCAGTCTATTGGACCGCTATCTGAACCACAACGACAGATAAAAACACGCCCACATACATTTATGAAACATGCAAGCAATACAGCATAGTAGATAACGTCGCATACATCGGTCACACACGTACATGCTCATTCGAAGTATGTATATTATATACAAATATCAATATTTACATATATTTCGCTATTTTCTATACATTATTTTTAGTTTTAAATCACACTTTGTAAAACATGAATCTGTAAATGGTATCCCAGCTATAGAGAAAACCTCTGAGACGAGGTTGTCTCCGACACGTCTTAAATCTCTTTTCGAAAAAATAACTGTCTCGACAATTTTTGGCTATCTGAAAACGTTTTTGATAAAATATGAACTTCATAGCCATAATCAATGTTCAAATTGAACAGCGAAAACCAGCCTCAATGCATAGCATGTGACGAACCAATTACAGTTAAACAGGTATTGTATTGACCTTCAGCCAGCTAGATATATGTTTAATTTATATAACAGATGTCAAATCCCTATCATTACAATTCTAACTTAAAAAGTGATGGTCTATTTAGAAAGAGACAACTTCCCATTGCCAACTATAAACGCATTTGCCAATCATTCGGACTAAGGTCGTCTTCCTAAATTTCATAAAAAATATAAGGTTAGGATATAATATAGCGCCCCACCCCCACCACCCCCACTAAACGCCGACAGAACACCGAACTCCGTCAGTGAGAAGAAGCCCGTATGAGTGGAGTCATGTAGGCGATAAACCAGTAAACTAACTAACTAACACATTGCCACTGTTTACCTTTCCGTTCGTTTGTTTACGTTTTATCGGCCAAATGGCCTATTCTGTGTTAATGGGGGGTTCAGAATCCAATAATTAATTAAACTTTCCAACAAAAAAACTACGGTCAATGAAGGACGTGCCTCTATGTGTGAAATATGAGCGTGTATGTGTATGTTCGCTGGATAGGTTTGGTTTGGTTGTATAGGGTTTAACGTCCTGTTCACAACTAATGCCATTTAGAGACGTGTCTTCATGTATGTTGTGTGTGTATATGCTGGAGGCAACATGTAGGTAATTTGTCTTCTTGCGATAGTGTGGATCTTGTGCTGACTTCAGCATGGTATTTAAGTTAGATAACACTCTAAATGCTGCAACAGGTCTTCGCTATATAAAGGAGGCAAATACAGCGACATATTGCTTCCATGTCACATGCACGAATGCATTACGCTCATCAATGCACGTCATTGGATTGTCTTAACTGTTAATGGGACGTTAAACAAAACAAAACTACCCTTCGGCATAATATTTCAGTGAATTAGCACTTTAGAGTCGGCATCAGGGACAAGCTATCGCAAGGAGGCAAGTACACCCACATACCCTGCCCTCAGCACACAAACACTACCTACGTGGATGCACGTCCTTAAATGACCTTAGTGTTGATAGGACGCTAAACGTTATAGACAGAACTAAACACATCTGGTATACAGATCCGAGTGAAGTGGTGCCTAGAAACACGTTGCAAATTATAACGGTAAAAATAGAAACAGGTGAAAATAGGTCTGCTGCTAGGAGGACATGGAGGAGACAAAAAGAGGTCTGCTGCCCCCATTTGAACACTTGGGAATCTTTTTCGTTACATTATTTCCTATCTTCGTTCTCTTTCCAACGGCTCCCAAGGCACTAATCCTCATATGAAAATAGCTGTTGCGATGACGTTAAACCCACAAACAAAGAAACCCCTGCAGAATTGGGGGAGTTGCGTTTGTGCCCTCTATTTGGGGACACAAAGGATACCAAAAGAACTATGTTGCATTTGCGATATTTATTTTTTCTCTCTACTTGCGAACTTCGGTTGTTTCCTTGTGCTGTGCTTGGCGTAACCTGAGTTTTAGTCTTATTTGTTGAACGTTCGCCGAAGTGAGGAAGGCAAGAGTTTTGTCCCTATTCTGGAAACATGGCAATGTTCTTGAAAATGTTAGTTGTTATTAACAGCTAAACTTTAGCTTATAGGGAATATGTAATCGCAACAACCCGTTGTCGGTATAATGTGACCTAGTGGAATTCTGTTCTAGGTGCTTTCCGCGTCCTTAGATGACTTCAGCTTTTAATTGGACGCTTAGTCCAATCAATTAAACCAAAAAACTTTCTTCACAAAAAAAGATAATTTTCACAACACGATGCATGTATTTTACAATTTATTAATGTATTTATACACGAAGCCTCATAAAGTATTGTAAAAAAATCGACTAAATTACATATTATCATTCTCGTTTGATAGCGATAAACAAATAAGGAGTCGTTTAAGGTTTGACATTTCATCTTATCTAAATAAACTGTTTCATTTATATACAATATATACCTTAATTAACGAGACATGTTGTACACAAATTCGATCTTACAGGTCTTGTTTTGTTTAATTGCTACATATTTCATCCTTCAATCTAGTTACATATATTGTTTAGCACAGATCCATGATTTTAACGACAGAAGTATATTTGTGTATTTTTAACTCGTTCAGCCATGATAACACATTCGCACTCTTCCAATTCAGAGGATAGAAAAGTTCATTATGAAATTAAGAGGTGAATGAGTTACACGTCAAGTTGAGAATTCAAATTGTTTAAGACTTCCTTGCTTAGTTACTGAAAGGGTCAGTATTTTTGTTATCTAAATTGCTGAATGGATATATCAATACATGATCTTTTTACCCCCCAAAACTTGAATTTAGCAAAGTATTTAGCATACTACAATATTCACAGTCTGTTGCGTTTAGTTTATGGGTATTTTATTAGAACATATTCAATTGCCTCATAATACAGCAATAAAACTAGCATAATCAGTTAATTAAAATCTGTTGCTGGATTTGATAACGTTGTGTGGATTTCAAAATATCATTATGTTCATGCTTTTGGGTATATTTCCATCAATAAGTGGGCGAAAGTAAGTATGTATGTACATGTAACTCAAGTGTTCAGATTTGAAAAAGAAAACGCAACAGTTTATGATTTGGCCTTTACCTCACACATTTGAGTAACACATTCATATACAGATGGTAAGAAATGTTTTATGTACAGTTAAGGCTACACGTTAGTTTCCACAATTCTCTCTGAAATGTTACTTTTCCCCGTAAGCAGAGTCCTGATACACGAGATTCCACAGTATACCTGTCTACAGTGTACATACAAATCAAAGGACAACAAATTATAACTATAAATACATGTTCGAAATTTAAAAAAACAACACTAATTAATAGGAAAACAAAATATAAACTTAACTATTCTACGAAAACAAGTGATCAAAATAAAAGCAAGTAAATAACAAAAATAATTCTATATCTAAGATAAAAATATAAAACCCCACACAAATAGGCTTTGCTCTATATCTGAAGTTTTTTTTGCTTGACACCTGTTATACTTCTCAGAGAAATTGTAATTGTAATTTTAAATCGGGTTGACAAATAAGACATTTTCATAACACTATACCTAAAATAGGTTTGGAGCCCATAACTCTTATTATTTGTATGCGTTGAAAGTCATTCTTTTAGGACTAATCCTCAACTAAACCCTACTTTATACATTTCCATATAAAATGTTCGTTCAAAGTTTTATATTCTACGGGAGTTACTCCCCTTGCATCACTATAAGTTGATATATATATTTTTTTACCTGTAAATATTTATTTCCCTGTAAAACAGTTTCGCCACGGAAGCATTAAAGTTATAATTATTGTCGGAGTTGTTTATGTGAGTTGATTGACAAAGAAAGTAATGAGATCAGAGAGAATGTCTTAATACAATACATATTACATACGTGTCCGTTATAGTTGGATCACAAGAGTATTTTAAGTTACCTACATTTATGATTATCTTCGATTCAAATGCGTGAAAACCAAGTAAACAGTAAATCTCGACAACACAAGTCCGTGTGTGGGTTTAACAAGTGCCAGGGCCCTGTATGACTAAATACAAATTCAAAACGCTTTATAAATGTCTCGTTGTTTCGCTTTAAATCGGCAAGCAAAACATATATCTCGTTTTAGGAGACCTTTACAACCATTTACAGGGTTTTTTCTTCTTAATTTTTATCAATTATTGCTCGTGTTCGACTTTAGAATCATCGAAAATAAAGCTTGTATGGAAATATCGCCAAAATACTTCGTCGTGAAGCATATGTGGTACAGAGTAGATTGTAGAGAACCTATATTTCTGAGGTAAAGTCTAAAAATATACATTGAAAAAGTACATCAGGATACAAGAAAGACTAGATGATAAAATGAGATTGTAGATGTACTACCTGCTTCTAAGTAAAATATGTATCGAAAAAAGCACTAAAATATTATCAAATATTCAATAAAATCATTGAACAAAAATACCAAAAGAAAAGTAAGACAATAAGAAATGTAATTGTAAACAAAGTTATACGGGTACGAATATAGAAATTTAGTTCTAAAATTCAGATTTAAATGACTAGTATATACACAAGAAGAGAATCTTAGTTCACACATGTCAATGTAAAAGTTATAAAAGATAAGCTTCGAAACATTCTACCGGGCACAGTATAGTAGCTGTACAATAACCTCTGTTATAGATAGGGGAAGAAGATAGCCGCGTGCAGAACAGAACGCGCTGACTTGTGACGTCATAAAAAGTGACTGGTTATATGTTTATTTTATATCTTGTTAGAATACGGTTCTGTTGTTGGAGAGTGTAACAGAGCATTCTCCAACCCTCGGGGTGATTATTCGGCTGTCTAACCCTCGTTAGAGCCCCGGGACGGAAAAAAATAAATCACGCCTCGGGTTGGAAGTTACTCTGTCACATTCTCAAGATAGGGGGGATTATATTAGTCATTGTTTGATATTCGAGAACCGAGAAAGTGATTTTCGCTGGGTAGTGTGACGTCACTGTCAAAAGGGGAAAGTGGTATTCGATGTATATCTCTCATTTTAGTAATACTCTATTAGTAACGCTATTAGCTTCAGTTTAACATCATGAATCATGTGTAAATAGAAACAAAAAATATACCATTGTAGCATTTTGTATATATTACATGTAAAGTTGTATCAATCAAAGAATTAAAGTAATAGATTTACTTTTCATCGGGCTGACAAAACTGCACGTTGACCTCGTAAAAAGGCAATAATTGTGTATTACAGACAAAGTTACCATCACAGCTAATCATGTCATGTGTAGTGTCCAAAAGACACAGGGAACAAAACTCTAATAATCAAAGTCATTGATTATTTTTTAAGCATATCGTGGTTGTTTACAATGATTTGTTTCAAATGAACGTAGGGGTCCTTGTCGTGCTTTAGACCGACACTGATTAACAGCTTATCAATGGTAATACCAATGTGATCCGAGTTTTACTTCCGGTCAAAAACTCGATACAGCCTATTACGGCAGCACAGGAGCATGTGTATTGTTGTATACTCTATTTGTTGTAATCATTTCATTTTCACGACGGTGTATCTTATCATGGCTGAACTTCACACAACACAACCAGGAGGGCCTCAAGTCCCAAAAAAAACAATAACATATTTGTTAAATAAAAATACATTTTGTTCAAAAGTATTCCCGACACATTTAAATTCAGATCTATTCTCCCCCAGATAACTCTAAAATGCACATCCTGTTAAATATATTTCATGAACATTGAGAAATGATACACACCAAGACCAAACTTCTAACTCGGGACTTCCGAAACTCAGTCCGGCCGCTCTCACTAAATAAGCTGTCCGGTAACCGATAGTTACTCGGCTCAGTTCCGTCAACTTCTTTTCCGTATATCTCCCTCCTTATACAACATTACATGTATTTGCAATCGGAAATCGTCGGCACTTTCCGTAAACGAGAAAGTATTTTCTAGTATTTCTCGTTTAAGGAAAGTGCCGACGTTTTTTGATGGCATTTTTTGCAGTCCATGTGCGGAATATCCCTTTGCCAAGTCCACACGCAGAACTTTAAAAAGTTTGGTAAGAGCTAAACGCTATTTTCTAACATAACTAGAGTATAGCGGCCTACCGCGATGAGTCATATCGTATGAGTAAGACCACCAGAGAAAGTACGTAAGAATCCCCCTGGTATGATTCGTTAAAGTTCGTTAAAGTAGGTACACCAGTCAGAATGCTTAGAATCACATCTTCGGACAAACCCTTGTGCGCGGAACCATACGGTGTCTTAAGGTAAAATCTACCCTAAAACCTTAACCTCTGGGCGAAAATTTTCATAGCCTTTAGTTTCGAACACAACTCCTCGTAACCAACGATATGGAACACCCGAATAAGTTCGTCAATGGTTGCTAGGGGTCCCTTAAAGTCCTTCCAGAACAACATGGCGTTGTAGACTCGATCCTGAATCCTGTCTTTCCCGTGGAACGTCTGTTCGAGTTCCGTGATTTTCGTATCCGGGAACCGGAACTTCTTCATCATGTACCGGATCTCGTTTTTATCCAGGGACAGCTTGATCACGTCAAACATCTTCAACAGCAGCATTTCTAATATAAAAACAGAAAAGGTCACATCTTGGATTTAAGTGTAAGGTTACTATGAGCATAGCCATAGCAGGGGGTAACTGGTAAGGTGGAGGGGGAGCAAATTGAAACTGAGACACAGAGCTGAGGCCTGGAGGGGTTTCTTGATGGAGGAGGGGATATAAAATCACTCTGGCGACGTCATTTCAGATTTTGATGAAAATGTATTCAAATGAAAAGTATGAAAATACCTTGAAATTCCTTACTTCAGAGTTATTAAGGAGACCTTCATTTCTTATTGTTATGATTTGTTTGTTCAGGGTTTCACATCCTCTCAACATCCAATGTCACATAACAACCAATGTCACATAAACCAATGTCACATAAAAACCAATGTCACATAAACCAATGTCACATAAAAACCAATGTCACATAAACCAATGTCACATAACAACCAATGTCACATAAACCAATGTCACAAAACAACAAATATCACATAGCAACCAATGTCACATAACAACCAATGTCACATAACAACCAATGTTACATGCATAACAACCGATGTCACATAGCAACCAATTTCACATAACAACCAATGTCACATAACAACCAATGTCACATAACAACCAATGTCACATAACAACACATAACAACCAATGTCACATGACAATTAATGTCACAAAACAACCAATGTCACATAACAACGAATTTCACATAACAACCAATAACCAATGTCACATAATAACCAGTGCTACAAAACACCCAATGTCACATAACATCCAATGTCACATAACATCCAATGTCACATAACAAAGGTCACATAAACCAATGTCATATACATAACAACCAAACCCACATAACAACCAATAACCAATGTCACATAAAAACAAATGTCACATAACAAATGCCACATAAACCAATTTCACAAAACAACCAATGCCACATACCAATCAATGTCACATAAACAAATGTCACATATCAACCAATGTCACATGACAATCAATGTCACAAAACAACAAATGTCACAAAACAACAAATGTCACAAAACAACAAATGTCACAAAACAACCAATATCACATGACAATTAATGTCACAAAACAACCAATATCACATGACAATTAATGTCACAAAACAACAAATGTCACAAAACAACCAATGTCTCATAACAACCAATATCACATAACAACCAAAGTCACATAACAACCAGTGCTACAAAACAGCCAATGTCACATAACAGCCAGTGCTACAAAACAGCCAATGTCACATAACCCCCAATGTCACATAACCCCCAATGTCACATAACATCCAATGTCACATAACATCCAATGTCACATAACAACTTATGTCACATAACAACACATATCAACCAATGCCACATAACAACACATAACAACAAATGTCACATATCAACCAATGTCACATAACAACCAGTGCTACAAAACAACCAATGTCACATAACAACCAATGTCACATACATACCAACCAATGTCAACCAATGTCACATAACAACCAATGTCACATAACAACCAATGTCACATAAACCAATGTCACATACATAACAACCAATGCCACATAACAACCAATGTCACATAACAACCAATGTCACATAACAACCAATGTCACATAACAACTAATGTCACATAAACCAATTTCACAAAACAACCAATGTCACATAATAACCAATGTCACATAACAACCAATGTCACATAAACCAATGTCACATAACAACCAATGTCACATAAAAACCAATGTCACATAAACCAATTTCACAAAACAACCAATGTCACATAACAAACAATGTCACATAAACTAATGTCACATAAACCAATGTCACATAACAACCAATGTCACATAAACTAATGTCACATAACAACCACTGTCACATAACAACCAATGTCACATACAGAAAGTGTCCTCAGACAATATGGTCACCCAATGGTCAATTTAAAGTGCAATTATACTGAAATATCACAACCTTGACACGGTGACATGACAATTTTGCCTGGTCGTATCATTCTGACGACGAGCAATCCAACTGTAGGTGGCTATGAAGACACCAACCAACCGGAACTATTTAGGTCGCAAGGGCTGGGGGTTCGGGGTGCGGGATGCAAGTAGATTTTGTTTTCTCCTACGTCTTTTTTCAGTCGAAATAACAAAACAAAACGAACTTCAGTCGTCACAAAATTAGCAAAGGATCATACAATGTCCATTCGTTCCCTGTTAGGCACATACATAGGCACATACGTAAATGTACTTTTCCTGCAGATACAGTACATCCAGAATCTGGTTTTCATCGATTTCTCGATATCAATACTGCAGCAATCTGTATATATCATATATTATCCATAATTTGGAAGGCCTTTTTGAAGTATCGGACTTAAAAGCATCGTCTTTGTATACGCTGTATAGCTTAATCAATGAATGAGTATATTTCCTTATAAATTTCGTGAATATAAAATCGTCAAAAATAGGTCATTTGCAAGACTTTTGCAAAAAACAATTAATCTCGAAAGGCTTAACGACAAATAATGATACATGTAAGTGAATGTAACTTACCCTCACGCTCCATCGCTCGTCTGATGAATCGACCAATCGGCTGCATGACACCACTAACGCAAATGTCCATCGGCGGAGTCTTTAACGGGTTGTTATAGAGACGCAGATCCTTTAAACCTGATAGGTTATCGAAATTTTCCGGAAGTGACATCAATGAGTTATTATTCAAATGAAGCACTTTGAGATTTTTTAGCTCACAAAGAGCCTCTGGTAGTACACATATGTCGTTGTAGTCTGCTACAAAGGACTGAATGTTCTTCATGCCGCTGATGGTATTTGGGAGGGTTCTCAATGAGTTATTCGATACGATTAGATAGGAAAGTCCAGAGAACTCAACCTCATCCGGAAGTGACGGAGTCGGGTGTCCGTTTTTCTGATCATACTTCAGACGTTCAAGATTCGGTATAGCAAACACAATTTTTGGAAATTGTAAAAACTGGTTGTTTGAAATATCCAAATCAGCTAGTTCGTTCATTCCTTCAAATTCCTCAGGAATGTCGTCAAGTAGGTTGTCAGAAAGATCTAGAACTTCAAGGTTCTTGATGCCACAAAACTCCGGGTCCAGACTTCGGATCCGGTTATTGCTCAAGTTAAGAACACGCATTCGTTCAAATCTGGTAACTTCGTTGGGTATAGCCTGCAGCTGGTTGTGCCTCATGTCCAAAACCTCCACCCCCTTGAGTGAACACATCGACCTCGGAAACTCCGTGAATGCATTTCTGCTGAGATTTATCTGTTTCATTTTACTCATATTCCCAAAATCTTCCGGAAGTTGTGAGACTTTATTTCCGTCAGAAAGAAATATTTCCAGACCATGAAGAGAACTGATAGCTGGAGGAAGTACCTCGAATGCATTGTCTGATAACACTAAAGAATGTAAGCGTCGCAAATTCTCCAGTTCAACCGGAAGGTCGGAAATCTGGTTCTTCAACAAGCTCAGAACCTCCAGATTAGAGCACCAGCAGAGATTCTCCGGAATTTCATTGATGCAATTATTCCCAACATATATCTCCTTGAGGTTGTACAAATTGGATATGTTATCCGGGATTCTCTTTATTCTGTTATTCTCCAGACCTAAAACCTCTATCAAATTGAGGTCACAAAGTTCATCCGGAATGACTTCGATCTGGTTATTGTTTAGTCCTAAAACTGTCAGATTTTTGAGATTTCCAATTTCCGGTTGTATTGCCGTCAATTTGTTCCCACTCAGAGCAAGTTCCGTCAGAGTTTCCATCCAATATACTTGAATGGGGACAAACTCAAACTCATTATCATCCAGCAGAAGTTGCTCAAGGCACGTGAAGTTTTCTGTTTCTCTCGGTAGGTTTGTTATATGGTTTCCGGATAAAGCGAGTCTACGAAGATCTTCTATCTTACACACTTCTGGTGTGACAAAGTCGAGTACATTTCTCTCCAATGCAAGCACCTTCAGACTTTTGCAATGACCAATTGTGTTTGGAAGTTCGGAAATTCTGTTTTCGCTCAGGATAAGATATTCGAGTTGCTCGAGATAGCCAATCTGTGCCGGAATATGAGTCAGTCTGTTCCCGTGGAATACCAACTCGCGCATGTCCAGAAGACTTGCAACATCCGGTCGTATTTCAGTGATCTCGTTATTAGAGAAATCTAGCACGCGTAGATGATAGAGAAGATATATGCTACTAGAAATGACGCCAAGTTTATTGTTTGGCACTTCGAGAATCTCTAGATTTACTAGCTTCTCTATGTCGTCCGGAAGACTCGTGAGACCGTTGTCTCCAAGCATCAAATGTGTGAGCTTTTTGAATTCAAATACGCCTTCCGGTACGACCATCAACATCTGTTCGTTCAGGTCAAGTGTCACACTTTGTCCGTCATCGTATAAGTAGTCTTCTAGGTTGAGCGGTTCAGGTTCCCGTTCCGGTTCTTCCTCCACTTCTGTAACTTCCTGTGACGATTCTCCGACGCCATTAGGAACATCGGGGTTCTCCTGTAGAACGTCCTGATCCTCCGGAGGTCCCACGGGATCCGCCGATCCTTCCATATCTGTAAATTCGTAAAAATAACTTCACAATAAAAATAAAATTATTCCACATTAATAATTATGATATTAATAACACTATCTTAACTAAATAAGAGTGATTTTCTTCCGCAGTGTGTATGTCCGCTGCAAATCTTAGGATGCAAAACGAAACCTAGCGGAGGAAAATAGTACTAAGGCAGATATGAGCCTGACCATAGCTAACAGAATATTTCTGCAACATTGAGCAGACTCTGTCGTGAACAAAGAGAACATAAATACTCAATAATGCACACAACTGAAAGAAATGGCGAACAAGAAAATTATGTTCATTAAGCCATCAACCGATTATACAAAGCAACTTAATTATTTTATATCTTTTCTTTCCTTACCAGTTTTCTTTACCTTTTTGAGAACACAACCTCTGATTTGTCCCTTTAGCCGATTCGCCGACACTTTTAATGACACAATATCTCTAAGCACATTTTGCGAAGGGTCTCCACTTACCCACTTCCTTTGCTCGGAAACAGGTATTCAACTGACATGAAAATCGATACAGAACCCAATTTAAAATACGATTCTGTGTGTGCTATAATAGTGATAACCCTCTGGTGACCTCTGGCTTAATCGATTACTACCGAGATTAGATTTCAACAATTTCCATACGATTCAACTTCGGAGAAAAACCTTCCATTTGTTTTTCTGACTTGCGTTTGTAAAGAAGTGTCGCTGAAGAATCGTATTGAGCGTTCGATATTGAATCCTGGGACTATAACAATGCAATACACCATAGCGCTGAACTTCACAGTAGTAGGCCGAAAACATTTGTCGTTTCAAACAGTCATATATCGAATGTTTGTCAATTATAGACTTGTTTTGAGGTGAATACGTGGTTATATGATCCTGAGAAAGACATACTAACTGAGACGAAGTCTAAGTTAATACCACTTCTCATACCGTCATTATTACCGTTTATCACATAATGTACTGTGCTTTGTAGTGAATATACCTCGTTTAGGTATTAACCCATGCAATATGACCTCTCAGCCCTGTGATTGGTTGTAAGTTTCAATTGTTTCAATTGTGACGTCACGCCTAAGACAAGATCATGACGTCACAGACTTACGCACTGGAGTCAAAATTGCGTCTTTTTACATTTCAAGGTCGCATGGAAATTGTTGTTTTACACGAATAAATGCCACAAATCTTGATTATGTGATAAAAGGGATCTTACACTCGTTTTCATTTCATATGAAATTTCTGAACCTCGTCACGAATTTTTCACTTGAAGATCCTATATATATTATAGAACTCGAAATTAAGGTCTTTAATAGTGTTATATTAGATATATCATTATGCTGTAAATATCATTAAATAAGATGGAGTGTTAAATGGCATCGGGACAAAAAAAATGTTTCTTTTGAAAAGAGGCTTGTGAAGTTTAACTCGGGGTGATAGGTGGCAGTATATTCTACATTATGTATTTGCCGATGGGTTATATGCTCTAAGGTCCTTTAATATTCAAAACCATCAATGGCGAAAGTGCCACTAGGACTATTGCTTCCAAGGTGGCGTCGTAGATTGTGAAGCATAGAAATAGTACGAGTGGCGACAGAGATTAAAATGACCGGTCGTTTCTGTCAGAACCTGAAACTTAAATTCCATGTCAAACTTTCGAGCATTTTATTCGGCATTTTAATTAACCAAGATAAATAAGCATCCGCATGCTACAGTCATAATACGGATGTATTCATGTAGTCTGGTCGAAAACAGAAGTCACGTGTCTCTCCGGTCATCCACAACAGTCATAATACGAATGTATTCATGTGGTCTGGTCGGAAACAAAAGTCACGTGTCTCTCCCGGTCATCCACAACAGTCATGCATGCTACAGTCATAATACGGATGTATTCATGTAGTCTGGTCGAAAACAGAAGTCCCGTGTCTCTCCGGTCATCCACAACAGTCATAACACGGATGTATTCATGTGGTCTGGTCGGAAACAAAAGTCACGTGCCTCTTCTGGTCATCCACAACAGTCATAATACGTTGTCTGGTCGGAAATAGAAGTCACGTGTCTCGCCCGATCCTCCACAACAGTCATAATACGGATGTATTCATGTTATCTGGTCGGAAACAGATGTCACGTGTCCCTCCCGGTCATCCACAACAGTCATAATACGGATCTATTCATGTGGTCTGGTCGGAAACAGAAGTCACGTGTCTCTAACGGGCATCCACAACAGTCATAATACGGATGTATTTATGTGGTCTGGTCGGAAACAGAAGTCACGTGTCTCTAACGGGCATCCACAACAGTCATAATACGGATGTATTTATGTGGTCTGGTCGGAAACAGAAGTCACGTGTCTCTAACGGTCATCCACAACAGTCATAATACGGATATATTCATGTGGTCTGGTCGGAAACAAAAGTCACGTGCCTCTTCTGGTCATCCACAACAGTCATAATACGTTGTCTGGTCGGAAATAGAAGTCACGTGTCTCGCCCGATCCTCCACAACAGTCATAATACGGATGTATTCATGTAATACGGATGTATTCATGTGGTCTGGTCGAAAACAGATGTCACGTGTCTCTCCGGTCATCCACAACAGTCATAACACGGATGTATTCATGTGGTCTGGTCGGAAACAAAAGTCACGTGTCTCTTCTGGTCATCCACAACAGTTATAATACGTTGTCTGGTCGGAAATAGAAGTCACGTGTCTCGCCCGATCCTCCACAACAGTCATAATACGGATGTATTCATGTGGTATTGTCGGAAACAGAAGTCACGTGTCTCTCCCGGTCATCCACAACAGACATAATACGTCGTCTGTTCGGAAACAGAAGTCACGTGTCTCTCCCGGTCCTCCACAACAGTCATAATACGGATGTATTCATGTGGTCTGGTCGGAAACAAAAGTCACGTGTCTCTTCTGGTCATCCACAACAGTCATAATACGTTGTCTGGTCGGAAATAGAAGTCACGTGTCTCTCCCGATCCTCCACAACAGTCATAATACGGATGTATTCATGTGGTCTGGTCGGAAATAGATGTCACGTGTCTCTCCCGGTCCTCCACAACAGTCATAATACAAATGTATTCATGTGGTATTGTCGGAAACAGAAGTCACGTGTCTCTCCCGGTCATCCACAACAGTCATAATACGTCGTCTGGTCGGAAACAGAAGTCACGTGTCTCTCTCGGTCCTCCACAACAGTCATAATACGGATGTATTCATGTAGTGTGGTCGGAAACAGAAGTCACGTGTCTCTCCCGGTCCTCCACAACAGTCATAATACAGATGTATTCATGTGGTATTGTCGGAAACAGAAGTCATGTGTCGCTCCCGGACATCCACAACAGTCTTAATACGGATGTATTCATGTGGTCTGGTCGGAAACATAAGTCACGTGTCTCGCCCAGTCATCCACAACAGTCATAATACGGATTATTCATGTGGTCTGGTCGGAAACAGAAGTCACGTGTCTCTCCCGGTCATCCACAACAGTCACAATACGGATGTATTCATATGGTCTGGTCGGAAACATAAGTCACGTGTCTCTCCCGGCCATCCACAACAGTCATAATACGTCGTCTGGTCGGAAACAGAAGTCACTTGTCTCTCTTGGTCATCCACAACAGTCATAATACGGATTATTCATGTGGTCTGTTCGGAAACAGAAGTCACGTGTCTCTCCCGGTCCTCCACAACAGTCATAATACGGATGTATTCATGGGGTCTGGTCGGAAACAGAAGTCACGTGTCTCTCCCGGTCATCCACAACAGTCATAATACGGATGTATTCATGTGGTCTGTCCGGAAACAGAAGTCACGTGTCTCTCCCGGTCATCCGCAGCATAAATTAAAATCATTTAATTTCCATAAATATTTCAAAGCACGGCTCCGTTTCTCAAGGACATGAACTTACCAAAGGAACCAAGGCAGGTGTAGGTATATATCTTGTATTTGATAATTGTCTCTCGACGCGCAAAACATATTGATCTAACTCATGATTTAGTATTATATCCCTGGGCGATTGTTTACATTGTATAAAGTGTGTGGGTAAGTTGAGTTTAACAATATTTATTGGCAAATAATTCAAATAGTGGATTGGGGTCGAGTTGTTACAGTTTATAACCAATATGTGATTATATATATAATGTACAATACATCCGACAATGCATTATCGACGCTATTTGCCACATTTTGGTATACACTGTATACGTACTGTACAATTATTATTTTTACATGCTTAAAGGCCTATCAGCACAAGAGGCCATTAGGGCCAATAAAAGGTCGACAAAGACCGATGCAAAATAAAAATATAAAACAAACGTCAAGGTAAAAGACAAACGTAAAGGTAAAAGACAAACGTCAACTTGAATATTGAAAGTGGCTATGGTTACTCATATTAGACCTACAGCTTTCAGATATTTTAAAATTGTAGAGAGGGTTATTTTTTTCTAAATAAGATTTTAGTAAACGGTTTACAGGGTTTGTTTACATCAATAACCATATCGTGGTATACTAGCATGTATCGTCGGATACCAGTGAGTAGCGGAGTGAAATCAGACGTGGGTATCCGACGACGGCTAACATGACCAAGGTTTAAACTCTTATTCACTCTTCTAAAACGTCCTTATAAAGTGTTTATTCTACAAACTGCGAAGACAAATATGTAACCCTATGGAGAATATTTAAAGTTTGAATTTTAATTCATATATTTTTAGAAGATATTTACCATAGTAGTCTAGTGGCATGATACCAGGCTCCTGACCGATGGGTTGCGGGTTCGAGTAACGTCACGGCACTGTGTTATATCTTTGAGCATGATACTTTACTCCGCTTGTTCTTGTCTACTCAGCTGTAAATGAGTACGTGGTTGGGCAGTGCTAGAATTGTTGAATGCTAGCTGTTAGCGCCGAAATGGCAACACCGGCTGTACGTATCCTCCCCAGGGAGTTGAGACAGATAATGGCTGGTTGCAAATGCCCTATAACCACGGATAATAATTTGTGAACCGCTTTAAGACGACCTACGAACTAGGTTGTGATAAAGAGATATTTAAGAACCTCAAATTGTTATTATTTATTATAAGTTTATAAGTTATTTCTCGACAATGATCGGCTTATACTGGTATCAGTCAAAGTGTACGGCTTAATTTCAGGGACAAATGTACCTGTTGTGTGAGTGATCGTTTTGAATGCGACTTCATTTTATAACTCACTGTAAATCAATTTATGAATATGAGTTTTGAGTATATTCATGTATATTATCATGTGATATAGAGTGGTGATTGGAGGTATACAGGTGAGCAATTGATTAAATAGGCCGACATAGACATCAGAAGTACGACAGTGCTGGGACACCATAATTGCTGTTTGATTTCTTTGTATATGGCTGACAGTAAATCGCGTCATTATTTACACGTTTTATGGCACAACTAATGGCTTTTAATATTTCCAAACACAGGGACTAGTTAATGGACTATTAAAAACCGATAACTGTATTCGCGTCAAAAAGTATAGAGACCGCCCGAATATTATATTTGAAAAGATACAAATTTTCATCGATATTTAAAATATTATGATCATTATCCTTTTTACATACATAACTATAAACTATAAAATCTTACAAATTAATTATAATCCATCTTAATTAACAAGTCCCTGTGTTTTTTACTACATGGTATACCATGGGGTCTATTTTTCACAGCATTATTAGCTTGTAGATGATTTAACGCCAATCGTTCAGGTAGTATATGTTTTGAACAACAATTAAATTCGAAAATATAAACATTTTATAAGGAATTAAACTATTGGTCCGACAACAAAAACAGACAATAATAATAATGATATTTGTTTACCTCCACACATTTCTCAAAAATATGATTTTGAAAATTTGTATTAAAATCTGATAAAGCTATCCATACTTTGAGTAGCCGGGTCACGTATATGTGTGTTGTCTCCGCCCAGGTGTGTTTTTGGTATGTCATTAATTAGGTAGACCCGAAAACCTTTTCATTGTATAAACATATCACGTACCATACTTTAGATGGAATCGATATACATATTTATATACATCTATTATGTATATATATGTTGTATATACGTATTGACCCGTTTTAATATCATCTATAACTGTCATTTAATCTCCTTTGATACAATATTCAATACGTACATAAATGAACAGCTACGCATTTATTTGTAAAAAGGTTTAGATATTGTCGTAGTCAAAGCCGACCTCAGTCTATAAATGAAACGAAGTTTTTGCCTTGTTCATACACAAACGTGAGCGGTGGCGGCTTAAATGTTCAATAAGTACAGAACTACAGCCTTTCACTGCATGTGAAAACCACTATGGAAAGATATTTGTTATAACACATAGCAAACCAAATTTGTTTAAATCGATTTTTTTCCGAACCGTTTGAAAAATAAAATTCCTCGTGTTTAGTTTATCTCATTTAAGTAATTTGAGTCTCAAACCACGTTTTTCGTTTTTGTTGATTTCAGGTTTTAGTGTAAACTTCATTTCGTTTCTTTCATTTCACACATAATTTGAGGAAACTCACAAGTGTTCAACCAGAAGCAGGAAAGAGAAACAAGCTTAGAGTTTATATTAACCCTAATTTCAGGTTTTAGAATATGTTTACGTGGGAACATGCATGTGACTGATAAGCGAAGTATCTTTGATATATATATTTGTAACAGTTTGATGGAATCTATTACACAAAACGCGAAGGATGAACTTCTCCTCTATACCTGAATTCTATCGTGGCGCTGTATATAATGCTGTGCCTGTTGATTTGTGTATTTTTATGACTAAAATCGGCTAAAAGGTACAGACAATCATCCTTTCATTAAATGCAAGAGTGTGTGATGGTTATAGTATAATGTGATTTGACCCATCTGTGTTGCCGTTTTGTTTTGATAAAATGCTTAAAAGTTGGAAAGTTTAAAGGCTGTCGGATGTAGGTTAAGTGGTGCTTTGGCAGCCCTATCTACTGTCTCATTTCCACTTAATCCGACGACTGGGAATCCAAATTAAAATCAGGTGACAGAACAATAAAACCCGAGGGATAGTGGTATCGTTGGTAAATGTATTAAAGTTCCGGGTTTTGTTATTTTAAAGTGCAGACAGTGAGTCGGAGCAGATAATTGATATTTCCGTGTTGTTTATTTGTCGGTGTTATCTAAATCAAGATCAACTGCAATAACGTTCCCATCTAAACGAAATTTGCGATGATATTCGCTATACACTAAATCACGTTTGTAAACATAAAATTGAAGACCAGTGCAGCTTTTTACTTGGCGATCATTAACATGTATACTTGACTGATATAGAGTGGGAAACACTTATGATAAATATGGCTGGAAATATCAGAGGAATGGTATGTGAGATGGAGAGTTTTCTATAATTAACCTATTGATGTATATATAAGTGTATACGTATATATGTAAAAGATGTATGAGGAATAGGTATTGTAGTGAACCTTTGATATTATGAATTATATAATGCAGTTATATGAATGTCGAATACGTCATTATTTAATACATTTACTTCTCAAAACTATGTTTATATGTAAATTAAGACACATTTTGTAAAACTGTTTTGACATATGAAATCTCCTAAAGGAGGAAATAAAGAATGTCTGTCTGTCTGTCTCCAAGTTGTGGAAATTGGAGAGGTATTACTCTTATAGTAACAACAGCTAAAATAATGGGAAAAGTCATCTCAGAAGGAATGCAAATGAAGTGTATAAGAACCTTAGAAGTGAACAAGATGGATTCAGAGCAGGGCCAGGAACAACTGAACAGGAAACAAGGAAGACCAATAGAAACCTGGAGAAGGACAGTAGAGGAGGAAATGAAACACCTAGGCTTCTCATCATGGTCAGACGCTGCAAAGAAGGCAGCAGATGGGATGTTATGGATAGGACTTGTTCATGGCCCTATTCTCCACTTGGATAGAAGGAACTAATGGTGTTTTCTTTTTATATCAGATTTTTTTTTTTATATAAATTTCAACCTATTGTTTAAAACAGTAATACATTCCTTAAATTGAAAAAATATAATTGAGATGTGCGATTTAGCAATGGCAATATGGAGATATTGTCATCTTCACAAGTCATACATGTACACATACTTAACGTGTAACAGATAATTAATGTATACGTCATTTACAGGCCTATTGTAACGCCACTTTTTTTTTTTTACCTTNTTTTATACATCATATTACTCTCTACACATCAACAAAGTATCATGCCCCTGTGGTCCTAACTACCTAAATATGTTGTCATACTGACACGTTGCCGGACCTCTAAGTCCACTGATCTGTTAAAACGAAATTGGTTTCTGATTTAGGCTGACGTATATGTTGTGCTGTACGTCTGTATATGAAGATAGATAAACACTATTGAATTACACCTGACATCAAATCATGAACCGTTTTAAATTACAAACGTGTCCAGCATACGATTTACCTGTTAATATCAAAACAAATATTCACCACCGAAACCTTGGTATGTTAATTTGATTTTATCTATATCTTCTAACACAGTAACTTACTGTAGTATCAATGACTCTTCAGTATGCGATTGATTTCCCTTTATATATATATGCAGAAAGCTTTCAAATAATTCGCTAATGGAGACGTCTTTTTAAAATTATTTATTCTAATGGCTACATATATACAGGTTTCAATGAGACCGGTAACATTCAGGTAGCTGGCATAATAATTGAAATACATGAAAGTAGGAGACGGAGAGTGATCAAATATTTCAGACTTGTGAGTCCAAAATCTGGGTGTTAAATTTATAACTAATTTGATTATTTGCTTGTAAAATTATACTTTATGCAGAGTACGTGCTTTATTTGACATGGATAAATGTCAATCGATCATCATGCAACATCTATATATGGGTAGCTCAAATGAAGAGTTTTTTAACCGATGATAAGAGAATGTTAATTGCATTTCATTAATATATCGTATATTTTAATTTCAAATTCACAGCTATTGTCAAATATATAGACAGGTGCCCCAATTAAAATTCTTCTATTTTAATGCCAGCAATTGAAATGCTTTTTATTTTAATGACAGATTAATATATGAAATGAGTTCAATTAGGCGCACCTTCGCTAGAAATGCATATGCACGTGTATATACACATATATGTATGTGTGTTTACGTTTTGTCTACACACTTGTATACACGTATACATATACATAGCCGTAATTACGCTATATATGTACAGTACTGTATTGACACTTTCAAGAACAGTTGTATTACGATTTTAACTGACCTGCAAGCGTTCATTAAAACATATATTGCTGTAGCAACATACCTTTCTCTTTCATCTAACTGTATTCGACACCCACATATGTTCCGATAAAGTTGGATAAGCCGGTGAAGTCCCCCTTTTAATCACCGAGGACGCTTTAGGTTGCCAAGTGCGAATAACGCGATCGGCGATAAGTCTGCGTGAAGTAGCGAGAAGTGGGAGTATTCACGCGCATGACCGGAACTGTAAAAACTATCAACATGGCAGCCACCTAGTTCGGCGAAACTGACGATGTTATGCAAATTGATCGAGTCGATTTTTGGCAATGAATATTGATTATTTACAACTTTAAAACTATTTTGCATGAAGTAGTATTAGTCTAAAGCGTAAGTAACATTTAATTTTAAACATAGGACATTGCCTAATCGGTTTGATTTTATACGAAATCAAGGAAGTGTATTTTGTAGTTCAGTTTTCATCATTTGGACCACTCCCCCTTACATGCTCATGTAAAATACCTTTGAATTTAACATTGAAGTTCAAACATCACTGACAACGAAATGGACAGGTCCCACATACACATGTGTTTATCAAAGTCTCGAAAATATAGTATTTACCGCTTTCAATTCGGATAAATCAAACACAATTGCGAAATTTGACATCTGACAGCAACATGAAAATGATAACTTTTGCTTACGTTCGTGGAAAGGATAGATCTTCTGTTTCACAACGTATAACCGCACAAGACAACTTATGTAGATGACACTAACAGGTTGTTCCTAGGGGGCATTTCAGAAACCATAATTGATGTTGTCAGCTCTCCCTGATACAACACTATGCTGCTCCTAGGAATCCTATCTTTTCATTTTCTGTTATACCCACTCTTTTCGGCGGTTTATCATTGAGTACGTGTGGTTTGCTCATTGTCATCAAGTGGAATGTGGTCGGGGGTTGTTGTGTGCAGGGTGTTACCTCTGAGTGGCCCTATTATCTGTAGAGCCATTCGTGAAATGATTATAGTTGTTTCAAGGACACAAAAACTAACACCAAACAAATAGTTATTGAAATTTTAATTCAAGTTGGCAGATTTTTATTTTCCATTCATATACCAGAAGATATTTTAAGTGACAACCCATGACTGAAAAAGTAACTTCTATAATTTAAAATAGCTACATTAGGCCTTCTGATATAACCTGTTATCCAATCATTACAAAAATCATTCCTGCAAAAAGGAAAGTTAATATTTTATAAATTTATATAACACAGGAAATTCAATACCAGATGTATTTTCAGAGTTTGTCAGTATTTTGGTATGCTTTCATAAAATGGGATTTTAGCTGGCTTAACCCAGATCTATGTTTACATATTTACACAAGGCATGCATATCTCACTATTTCTGATAAGATTATCCCTGATACGCAGTAGGTATTTATTTGTTATTGATTAAATAGTTTATAAAATGGTTTATCAAGGGATTTTGGGAAATGGACTCTGAGATGAAATTGGGGAAAAAATCATCAACATTTGTCATAAGAACCATTTTGGGGAATTAAATTGATCATTATAACAATTCTGACTTCAGGAAACAATTATGTTTAGTTTTATGAAAGCTTATTTGTATGGCAACACAATCATCCTGTCCTTCCTACATATGCTGTCTTTTGAGAACCTCTGTCACTAGTGAGCAAAGGAATTAATCAAAATTTATGCATTTAAACATTTTTAGATTTCTCAGTTGGGAATTCAAAATGGACAAATTAATAAAAATGATACTCTTTCGGTTGAGAATGGTCCGTTTAGATAAACCATTAATATCAAAAGTATCATGATAAACCCCTGGAATTAGTTTATATATAGATACTGATTTTTTAATTTTCAATTTTCTTATCCTGACCAGACTTTACTTTCTGTCTTATAACTTTGCTTAATATCAACTTGCATAACTTTACGAAAAGATATTATAAATTCACTCAAATTAAGCAATTAATAATTTATGCAAACAATATTTTTTTATCAATAGGATTAAGAATCAGGGATTGAGAAGTTTCGTAACTCCGGTATCAGCGATTAAAAATCTCTACTCTTTAACAAGATAGTTATATGCATTAACAATAATCCATTTTGTAATTAAATACTTACAGGTGTTCAATTCAAACCTTGATCATGAAATCAACCCAATCAACCCAATCAACCCAATACTTGGAATTAAAAAAAAATCTTGATTTCCGGCATTCATTTTCAAATTTTCGTTTTTTTACAAATGATTATGTATCGAATTGTTGATAAAAAGACAATATCTCTAACATGATTTCTTATTCAAATAACTCCATCTTGTTGGCAACTACAATTGATTAATACTTTTTTGTTTCAGAAATCCCCCAAGATGGGTTCCATGAAGGATAACAAGGATATAGCTTGCTATTTCATTACCAAGCACTCATGGAAAGGGAAGTAAGTATGGCGTCTCACAGCTATCTTATAACCAAGCACTTAATATGGAAAGGGAAGTAAGTATGGCGTCTCACAGCTATCTTATAACCAAGCACTTAATATGGAAAGGGAGAGTGTAGCACTCATCCACTGAACAGATACTGTGTTAAAATGTTAGATTTTATTTTTTGAATACTTTTTTAAAAACTGTAAAACAATTTTAAAATTCCAAACACCTTTAAACAAGAAATCTTGTGGAAGGATCAAACTACATGTATTTAGGAATGATAAAATAATTTGTTTCTTATAACATTGAATTTTTTAGGTACAAGAGGATTTTCTCAGTTGGAACACTAGGAATTACAACATATAACCCCCAGACTTTGGAGATTACAAACCAGGTAAGTCAGCAGGGGGTTCTATTTAGTCTAAAATGTATCATGATTTAACACATCACATCTCCAGCAAACACACAGGCATACACACATAGGGAGATAGGCGCCTACAAGGTGGCATAGGACTAGTAGTTTGCGCCTGATAAGGCAGCTCCTGCAAATTCCTCAAAATTGTATTGATTAATGTATGCTAATTGTATAAATTGTATATCTACGTACTGTTAAGTGGCTTATGTTAGCTACAAAGGGTGCTATATCAAATGTTGTATATTATTATTATTATGATTTATATTTCTATAAAAGAGATTTAGACTTTTTTCACAGCTGATAAAATAAAATAAAAACACCAGTTTGATAGTTTTTCTCTACATTTTTTCCTTCGAAAGAAACTCGGCAAATGAAAGATTACTACAATGAAACTAGGTCTTTTTGAAATTAACTAAAAAATAAAGTTGACTGAACTGAGACTGGTATTGTTTTGCTGTTGGTTTTATTGTGATTCTTCCGATGTAGAACGTATCCCGAAGTAGTGGGCTACAGTTGTTGTTCCGAAATACTCAAAATTCTTTGACAGACTGGCGTTTTGATGTTTTTGATTTTGATTTCCACAGTGGGCATATGAGGAATTCATTAGCATTGCACCAAATGTGAGAGCTCCTACCAACAATGAGTTTACCATCACCATGAAGAAGGGTAAAAAGACAGACTCAATGAAGTTTTCCACAGATCACAGGCCTGATCTCCTTACTGAAGCATTGGTAGGTTGAAGACCTTCTTTCTTTTTCCATGTACTTTACATTGTGTCAATAATTGATTTTATCTTCAGATGTATATAGAGGTGTATTATAGGTGTAAATATTTCCCCCTAAAGGTATTTTTTAGTCTGGAAATAGTATAATTAAATATGCATAACCAGATTTATTTAGGAGTTCAAACAAGTATTCAAAATTCAGGTCACTTTCTTTTGTCTGTCTTTTTCATCCAAGGTATGATTTCAAAATTACTTTATTTATTAATTTAAGAAATATTTGAATAAACAAGTTGACTTTGGTTTTCATTTTATTCAACAGAAATTTAGTGGCAGGTTTGCTGAAGTCAACAAAACAACAAAGGTAAGCACTTGTTTCAAGTTTTGAAAATTTAGAATAATGTCATATTTTCAAGAATGAGTTCTGAATTACGAAATGTGACTGAAGGACTACCAATATATGTACCAGGTATATCAATTTTTTTCATGTTGATTTTTATAGATTTGCTTTTTACCTTTTTCATTGAGGTTATTTCATGAAAATTAAAACATGATTTTTTTTATTGATTTTTTTCATTTGACAGAGATTCAATGCTTTCAAATGTCACTGGTCAGAAAACCGGGTCCCAGTGATTCTAGAGGTCAATCAGGGGTCACTGGATCAGATTGACCAGTCCAACAACAGGAGGCTGTGCTCATATTTGTACAAAGACATGGAAGGACTGGCCCAGGTACCTCTTCTTTCGTCATCACAACTTTCAGAAAATTTACACAATATACTTTCACTTTCACTTTCTCTGAATTTATTTTAATATGCTAATATGCTTTCACTTCCCATAATATAATCCACAATACACAGAGTATTTTCACTTCCTATATAGTTATCATAATGTTAAAATTACAATACAGTCATTGAATGATAATCTAGCTGTAGAGAATTCAAAAAGAGTCCCCTGGTCCTCTCCAGATTTCTGTTTCATACATTATGGATTCTTATTTATTTAAACAAGAAAACCAGCCTCAATACGTACGTGTCAGCCATTTACAGTACAGATGTATAACAGATTTCATTTGACTGCATTGACCTTCAGCCAACCCCATGTGATTTTAATAATGACAATACAACAAATCCCTTCAGAAAACTATTAACATCTCCACAATTTCGGACTACCTGAAAGCTGTAAATCTGTTCCGAAGGATGTTCTTAAGCTAAGTCACTTTTTAGAATTATTTTTTTCATGTATGAAAAAGAGTTTTGATGTCGTTACTTTCAAAGTTTTGATTGTGTGATGTTATTTACTTTACAACATTTTGTTGACTATTAAGTTAGGTGTAATGACCTTTTCTGTGCCCTATTGGTGTTGATTTCATTGTGAGTCTACATTAGAAAAAACCTTTTGATTGAATGAAACCAATTGTAAATACTATATTGACAGGTGTCGGATTATCCAGGGGGAGTGGCGATCATTCACGGAGGATTCAGTCGCTTGGTGTGTACACATAATTTATTTACATAATATGAATATATTACAAGAAAATTTATATGCAGATTGATACTGGTACTTTAAAATGTGCATTGAATGTTATACAACTATTATGGACTTTTGTGATGACGAATATGTGGCTAAGCGTTCTCCAGCAGCAATCTTCTCTTGTCATCATGTTCCGGTCTAACTGCACATGGGCTTTGACAGGTTGCAGGGAATTTCCATATATACTGTATAACATAAACTGTTCGTTGCGTATAAATTTTCGTTGTTTTCGTGGTTGCTATGGAACCACAAATATAAATACAACAAATATTTCTACAACTCGAAAGAATATACACAATGAAAGTTCTAAAATGTACTTAATTTGCGGCAAATTTACAATTCCGGATACCATATCAGACTGTGTTCCTATTCCAGTTTATATACTGATTTCGCATTTCCGTGTGATATTGACAAAGCGATTCACAAATGAATATTTTAAAATAATTGAGCAATTCCTTTAAAAATATAGGTATGTTTTACTGAAATGGATATGTGGTATCAATGTGTCGTATAAATATCATTAGGAATGATTAATTACGTATATGACCAATAAAGTGAAATGGTAGGCCTACTTAGCATCACGAAAGCAGGTCAGTGTTTTCTTAGCATGATGTGAACACTCCCATCGCAATTATATTTACTTTAATTATTATAATTGTTTGACATGAACATAGAAGTATGATGAGTGTGAATCTTTATCATTTTAAAACATACTGCAAACGTGTTATGTTGGTGGTGGATCAAAGATTCTCGGAATGGTGGATATATTTCGTTGTACGTGGCTGGCAACAAAAATTAATACATTTCCTTGAAGGGGAAGCACGAAAGTTTGTACCCACAAAATAATTTGAAAGCTCCAAATCACGAAAGAAAGTATACACGAACATTTCATGTCATACAGTAGGTTATTTTAAGAAATCAATATTCACCGGATAACCAGTCTACATGACTTGTTGAGGACTGGTCACGTGAATAGGATCCGGCCAATGTGATTGTGAGGAAATTTTCAAGCATATCAAAAATGAAAATAAAGCATACAGATATTCTATAATGAGTTCTCCTTGTTAATTTAAGAAATATAAAAAGGAAAAACAATTGTTATGTTTGGTAAATGACCATTTTACATCTGTAAAGCATTTTTAACAGAAATTTCTTGTAAACTGTTTGTTACCTTCCTTGTAGCACCTCTTCGCTCTGGAGCAGAAAGATGAACTTATCAAGCAAGTGATGGAGTCAGCTGCAGCTTACGTCGGGATCGCTGTGAAACAGCGACGCGAACCAATCACAACAGAACAGTTCCTCCTCAACCGGATGGGAAAACACAGGTAACAGTACAGTAACTGTTGTATTGTAGTTATAATGTTTAAATTGATGATAAATTGATAGTGAAGTCTAAAATAATAATAGTCTTGTTCAACCAGACTCTTGTTGTCTGCGCAAGCTAGGCCGAACAGAGAGTCTTGTCAAACCCTATGATATCTTTTTTGTGAAGTCATAACAAGGCTTACCAGAATTCTGGTAAACAATTTCACCCTTTTCAACTTTTGAAGTCAGAATTTGAGTGGCGCAAAATTGCATTGAATATTCAATTCATGAAAAAACTTACCTGTTCATGCATTCATGAAGTATCCGTGTTTTCATTGGATATTTTACAATAATTCATGAAGCCAACTAGATTATTAACACAAGTCAAGCCAGATTACCTGAGTGAGAAACTGTAGTGTTTTGAATGGTGTACAGGTAAAATCTTGCTTGTTTTGCATGCCTTTTTCCAAACCTCAGGCAGCCTTGTTGGCTTTGCGCTCAGTTATGATTTATTCAGTGGAAATATATGGCATTATTCTGGAGATTCAACACATTTTCTTAATTTTTTTTTCGATAAAAGTGAATAATTAGATAGTTCAGGAATGCATGTACAGGTAAGTTTTTTCCTTAAGATCATTATCCTTTGAAATGGTTATACAGCGTTAACATAACGTCCGGAAACGTAAGTCAAAACACTGCCCTCTGGTGATGGTAATTTTAAAGTTCTGTGTTTGACTAGACTCTTGAATTACAAGTGATCAAGAGTCTGGTTGAACAAGACAAAAATAATAAATAAAAAATTGTTAAACATTTATCAAAATTTGTATAGTTGGTTATGGGAAAAACCTATGATTTTGGTAGATCAAATGTTTCATACTCGAATTCCCTGCCCTACCCCTGACCCATATATATTTGCTGTATAGCCCTTATACAGATAAATTTGTATTCCTGGTAACTATCATCAAACCACTAATGTAAGGGTTAAAAATGAACTTTTGATCATTTTGTTTTACAGACATTTAGTACTTTAAAGCTATTCTTTTATGTTTTTGAAACAAAAGTTTCCTTTTTAATCATAGCCCTTGTTTTAGTTTTGACATGCAGGTAAATGTAAGCTTGAACATGTTCTCAATTTCAATTTTGTTGACTCAAGGAAGCAAAGTTATAAAAAAAGCATATTGCTGTGAAATGAATAATTTTTCTAGATGAGTTGGAGCCTGTTTCTATCAGGTAAAAAGACATAATATTTCTTCCTTCTCTGTTTTTACAGTTCTGATGAAGCGCTGACGTCCTATGCTGAGTTCACAGTGCAGAAGATTTCCCAGCGTCACTCTGACAATGTGAGACGGACCCTGTGTTTGTCGGAGACGTGTATGGTAGAGAGAGATCCAGCCACGTACAACGTAGTCACTTGTAAACCCCTCTGTGATGTAAGCATGCCTTACAATATCTCTGAACCTTGATGATAATGTTAACAGTGTGCAAAATGAGTGACAACGTTTTGAGAGTGTCTGACAGTTTAAAATATTAATAATTATTGTCAAAAGTTATTGATGTTTGAGAGTTCTGATAATCCTAATTATCTTCAATTTATTATTGTTACATACCAAGAATTGTTGATTTGAAAATAACAAGTTCAGTTTAAACTTTTACTGAAATATCTCAGATTTAGAGAATAATTTCCTCATAATTTTATTTTGTATGCTTTTTTTTCTTCTTCTTCAGATTTTTGCAATAATCCGTGATAGTGAAAACCCACAAAAGTTTAGTATAGAATATGTAAAAGGTGCAATAAGGACATACCTCTCCACTGACAGGTAGGTTACAGAACAGTGTTACCTCCTTCTGCACATACAATTAGGTCACTTGTTTTTTAAGTTCTATACAGATTGAGTGTTTGTCCACAGTTGTTCACTAATATGAAATTGCTCTGAGATACTTTCTAAGACTGCATTAACATCTGTAGATCCTCCATCTGCGACACTCCAGGGGTTACGTTCACTTTTGCTCTCTGCACCCCTGGGATATGTCATAGCAAAATTTAAGGAACTAGGCTAGATATTTGATTGGTCTCCAACCTGACCAATCACTAAGCTGATGACTGTCCTTGAAGATTACATAGGAGAGACACCCGACTTCAAAGCCAGTCAATTTTACCGGCATGCAACCGACAGAATCTTTTGATGTACATCAAAGGATCAAACTAGCCTCTCGTCTTATCCACATTGTGGTGTACACCGAGCCTTCAATTCTGCTATGAAAAATTCAAGGGGTGCAGAGAATGGAAGTGAGCTTAACCCCTGGATATCGAGGATGTAGATCCCCCAGACTTCATCCCAGAAAAAAATGTATTTGAAATTAGACAAGCTTCTCTGTCCACATAAGGAATAGGCCTTTGTGTTGTCTTGTACAAGCGTTTTCTGAAAAAGTAAATGTATTAAATAAAAATCTATAATACGAGATCATTAACTGAAGTGTATCAAAATCTCTTCAATAATTTGAGAAGTAATTTCCAAAAAATTATACAATATTAATAATAATAATTTGAGGTTCTTATATACCGCTTAATCACAACCTAGTTCGTAGGTCGTCTCAAAGTGGTTCACAAATTATTATCCGTGGTTATAGGGCCTTTGCAACCAGCTAATATCTTTCTCAACTCACTGGGGAACATACATCCGGAGCTGCCATTTTGGCGCTAACAGCTAGCATTCAACAATTCCAGCGCTGCCCAACCACATACTCATTTACAGTTGAGTAGACTGGAACAAGCGGAGTAAAGTATCTTGCTCAAAGATACAACACAGTGCCGTGCCGTGANGTTTTGGCACTAACAGCTAGCATTCAACAATTCGTCCTTCCACTAGACTACTGTGTCTCCCAAATACCATGATATTTAATTTCTCAAAGAAATATTCCATTTAAATCTATATAAGTGATGTTTAAAGCTATAAATACCTGTTTGAAGGGGAAGATACTCCTACCTTTGCAAGAGTAACCTATCCTGTGTTAATGGGAAATAGTGGCTGTTTACATGTACAGTGTAGGGAATAATGACTGATGTTACTATTCAGAAATCGTTCATATCAATTATGTCATAAATATATTTCTGATTTTCATTAACAAAATCACAACAGTTATGGTTTGTCAGTAAGTGCTACCAGGCATTTCTGAGGAAACTTCACGACATCTTAAAGATGTTGCTTCTTTAAATATAATTTGCAGGATAATGCAGTATCACAAAAAATGTATATCAAATAATTGAATGCTACATATAAAATTATCACCTGTTTGGTTCCTTTTGTATCGTTGATTGTTGTCGTTTGTTACAGAGATGCTTTGATAGCGTCATTACTAGATGGTGTGAGAGCCTCCGGAAACCGTGACATTTGTGTAAAAATGAAGTTCACACATCGGGGCTATCGACTGGGTAGGTGGTATCATGATATACATACTGTTTGTGAATTTTTATATTGATAGTGACATAAAATAAAATTTATACAACTTCCTTTCAACATGTGTATAAGTGCAAAAATAGTCTAAAAACAGGTGATCATGAAAGTCATTGATTTATGGAATATGTTTGTTGAGAGCTGGGCTTGCACTTTTCCTCTGTGACCTGCCCACATTTTGAGAACAAAATTTAACTTTTATTTATGGGGCCCATCAAATTACTGAATATTATGCATAGAATACACTGATACAGATTTTTAGCTCACCTGCTTCGACCATCGGGATTATGGGATTTTATCCTTATTTAGTCTGGAGCATCAATGGACCAAAGGGGACTCAATTTGGTATAACTGGTGGGTATGACCCCCCCCCCCCCCCCCCAGGTTGCATAGGGGTGGGGCTCTGTTTGAAGTTTGTTCTCACTATATCTCAAATACTGGATGGATCTTTCTGAAATTTCATATGTATTTACAGCACCTACTTCATACCAATTATTTTAAACATATTCAGGTGAGGGATACAGGACCTCTAGGCCTCTTGTTTATGTAAGTCATAAAAATGGTTCATCTCCGGGACAATGGTTGCATCAATTACATTGAATTTAAAAAAGTGGCCTTGAATTTTTTTATAATATTGCATTGAGTGTCAATATATACTAACATGCAACACAAGTGTTGTTTCAATTTAATTGAAATCTGAACCAAGGAAATCTGATCAAGGACTACAACCAAAGTTCAAGTATATATAAGGGTGATCTATTTGATCTTAGTCCTAGCTCAATGTAAGGCAGGGATGCTCTTCATCAATTATCATTTGTCAATGTCACAAATTAGTGCAATTGGTACCTTAGGAGTAGTATCCGTAAATGAACTTTTGAACTTAGCTGTTAATATGACATTATAAGATAATCAAACCAAATCAAACCTAATTAGGAGCAGCATTAGATATTACCCTGGTAAAATACTAGTCAGTTCCTACTGACCCTGTTAGAGAGAATGTCTGCTTAGCTCATACAGAAGTGTCAGACTAGTAAACTAGAGGTTCCGGGTTCTAGGGGGAATCTCTGCTTAGCTCATACAGAAGTGTCACACTAGTAAACTAGAGGTTCCGGGTTCGACCTCTAGTGGAGGCATTTGAAATATTTACGACCCTTTTTACATAGAAATGCTATGGAGCAGTCAGTTCCATTCATTTAGGACCAGAATGTGCACTGTCAACCTGTGGTTATAGTTTAGTGACCCTGACTCATCAATCTTCTTATTAACAGGTCCTTTCACTGTCCCTGTGGACGAGGAAGTAGAAAGCCAGCATTTGAAATTCATGATACAACCAGGTAAGTATGTAATTTTGGTGTTGGTTATACTGAAGGTAGAGAGTCCCATCACTTTTCTACTCTATACTGGCATTTTTCAAAAATAATCCTGTTAATATTTAGGTTATTTTTTTAATATTCATACAAAAACAGTTTAAGGTTGTTGGCCTTTTAAGGAGTTCACTCAAACACTTTGAAATTATTCCCAATAGATAAATGTTTTGATGGATATTATCCTGACTGATAGCGCAGCAGATAAGCTCCCTTCTTTATCATCAAGAGATCCAGGAATCTTATCCGGGTGGAGGAAATGTTTAGCGAGAAAAAATATTATAATTGTAAATCTGTTAATTTTATTTCATATATATAATTCTTGGCTTTTGTAAATTTTTGGCAAGCATTACCAAATCAGAAAAATGCCGAACTAATTGGAACTCTTTGTTGGAGATACAACGCGGACAACTAGAACTACAATCACCTTGAAACAATGTATCGTTGACAAGCTGTCACAAGTTGAGAAGTTCCCCTGGTTTGTGTAAAAACAAATATTCTTTTTTCAGTGACAATGACGTTTGATGAAGCAGTATCCAGATTTAACAGCAACATATCGTATAGTGGACTACTTCATGCTGTCACACAGGACGTAAGTGATGTCAGCCATCAGATTTCAAAGACTCCCTTATAATAATAATAATTTGAGGTTCTTATATACTGCTTAATCACGACCTAGTTCGTAGGTCGTCTCAAAGCGGTTCACAAATTATTATTCGTGGTTATAGAGCCTTTGCAATCAGCCAATATCTTTCTGAACTCCCTGGAGAGCATTCAGCCGGTGCTGCCATTTCGACGCTCACAGTTAGCATTCAACCATTCTAGCACTGCCCAACCACATACTCATTTACAGCTGAGTAGACTGGAACTAACAAGCACAGTAAAGTATCTTCCTCAAAGATTCAACACTGTGACGTGACTCAAACCTGCAACCCTTTGGTCACGAACCCGGCGTCTTACCACTTGACTCCCTTCCTGTTTCTCCCTTCGCCTGTACATCTTCTGTAAGGAAGACAAATTAGTATTGACACCAAATATTAGCACACATCATAACATGATAATTACATGTTAAATGTAAAGTTAAAGTGGGAAAATAGGGATTTTACCATTGCAGGGCAAATATTTGACTCACTGAAAGTTTCTCGGTAACTGATAATATTATATATATATATATATAAAATGTTAA